GAAATGCACAGTGGCCCTGAGAATGTGGATGGGCTGAGAATGGGAGATGGGGTATGGACTCCAGGCAGAGGGAATATTTTGTTTGTGGCTTATACTTAACTAACCAGCCAACCATATAAAAGTCCATGCAAATTCCGACACTCTTATCGCCCTGTTTTAGCCCATAACAATGTTCAGTAAATATCTGTGAGATGAATAAGAACACAGTCAAAGAATTTCACCCCTGGAAAAAATTATTTCATAGGTCATTTTAGAAATGAAGAAGCGGGAGTCTAGAGAGGTTGGGTTAATTTGCCCAATGCAATGTTAACGTGAGCCTGTAGTGGTTAACAGATTGTACTAAAGGCTGCCGGGAACCAAGGGGAATTGCAACATAGAACAGTATGGTGGGCATCTGTTGTTTTGCCTACCCAGCATTTATTCTCCTCTCTCTGGAAGCAGTGCCCTTATTTTGTTTGGGGAGCCACCAATCCCCTTACTCCATGTGGTCCTGGTGGATGTGAGTCCACCTGGCTTCTGGAATAGCATGTGACCCAAGCCTGCCCAACCACACTCGTCCTCCTAGAGCTATTGAGAAAGAGGCATAATCCTTCCACTGAGAGTTGCTGAGAAAAAAAGATGCAATTCTGAATGATACTATTAGTATCCCACCTAAGATAGCATGATGTAATGAAAGATGATAAGCTACATTTCCTCGGGTAAATTGTTTTAAGTATTCTGGACCTTGATTACTACATCTGTAAATGGAAATAACAATTCCTTACCTCAAAGGGCCGTAAAGAAATAATGTATGTAAAATGCCAGGCACACAGTAGGAGCTCATTAACATTGGCATCTTTTCTTCTCCTTCCAAATAGTGTCAGATGGATGTAGCATTACTGTAATTAAAATGTAAGAAGTGTATTGGCAGACTTGCCTTACAACATATTGAGAACAGCTTTTTCAGTAGCTACCTTATGTGATTTCAGGGAATTGGGGAGGGAAAATAAAATAAAATGCAGCTTGCTTTCCTGGAACAATTCAAGCCATATCCAACGCCTGCCAAGCATAGCCTATAAGTCTATGTCTGCATTCATCTATTATCTCACCTCTATGTAGATAAAGTGGTTTTCCTCCCCGCTCACTGGCCATTTTATTTTTAAAATGGGAACTCTTTTGAGTCCTTGGCAATCATTTAGCTGACAGTTTGGATCATAACGTAGTAATAACATTAGTGAACAGTTGTATGACACTTCCCGCTCTAAAAGCATTTTGCAAATCTGAGCTAATTAGCATGAATGCTAACATGCCAGCTTTTTATGGATTACTATTGCAATTATACTTTGCCTTTTCAAAAAAAAGAAATGCAGTGATTTTTTTTTTTGCCAGAAATGAGAAAAAACAAAATGAATAAGCTGCCTCTCCAATGGATTCAAACACAATGTAGTTAAAATATAAGACAGATGCTTTATTGACTGAATGTTCCTCTAACAACGTTCATGAGACTTTATAGGTATGGCACTACCTGCTAATTGTTTTAGAATCAACAAAGAAAATAAACTATATTCATTGGAGAAAAGGGATTTGTAAACCTAAGACAAGTTTCCAACCTTCAAAATGCACTTTCTACTCATTTCTAGACTTAATTACCTCAAAGAAATAAGAAAATTATTTTTTCTGTGATTCACTATGATTGTGATTCATAAACCAAATGAGAAAATGCCAGTTCACATGGTATTGAAAAATGTCCTGTTCTTTCTATTGTAATATGAAAATGGAATAGAGTCAGTATGGAGTCAGAAAAGACTTGGGTTGGAGTCCCAGGTCTGGTACTCAGTTCTGTGACTGTAACTCCCTGAATCTTGGTTTTCTTACCTCTAAAATGGGGATGATAATACTTACTTTGCAGGATTCCTTGGAGGAATTCCCTGCACTCTTCCTTTTTTTATGCAAATCCAGATTTCCATCTGATATCATTTTCTTCCTTCTGAAAGATGTCTTTTTTACTTTTCTTGTAGTAAATATAGGTTGATCCAAAAGAGATCCTGCCTTCCACAACATCTGGGATATGACAGGTGATCATATTACCCTGATCCACCCTATCTGTAACACATCTTCCTCTCCTCATCTAAAATTACTCTGATGCTCAGCCATAAAAAAGAATGAAATCTTGTCATCTGCAATAACATGGACAGACCTGGAGGGTATTGTGCTGAATAAAGTAAGTCAGATAGAAAAGATAAATGCCATATGATTTCACTTATATGTGGAACCTAAAGAACAAAACAAACAAAACAGAAACAAACTCATAGATACAGAGAACATTTTGATGGTTGCCAGATATGAGGGGGCTTGGGGGAATAGGTAAAAAGGGGAAGGGATTAAGAAATACAAATTGGTAGTTAGAAAATTGTCATGGGGACATAAAGTACGGCATAAGAAATATGGCCGATAATATTGTAATAACTACATATGGTGTCAGATGGGTACTACATTTATCGGGGCGGTTGGTCACTTTGTAAGTTACATAAATGGTAAATCACTATGTTGTACATCTAAAACTAATATAATATTGTATGTCAATTATAATTGAAAAATAAAAAAAAAATTAAAGGTTTAGATTTAGAACACATCTAGCACCAAAAAGTCCCCTATCCACCCATCTCACTTAATAACCTTTCCCCCAAAGGTAACCACTATTCTGACCTCGAATCCAACATCTTAGATTAGTTTTATCTGTTTTTGAACTTCATATAAATAGCGCCATAAGACATGTAAAAAATAAAATAAAATTACTCTGTTCATTCAGTTTATAGGAAAGCTGAGCACTGTAACAAATTAAAATCTTCTTCCCTATATCTGATTTATGTGTTTTTAAATATCTAATTACACTTTAAAAGGATTAGAAATAAATATAAAAGTTCATTTTGATGGGAAATATATAATCACCTGAAAACTTTCCTTTTAACATACCATGAAATCGTAGAGCTCTCTCAGTTAAACTTGGTCATTTTGTCCTCTGTTCTTTGTACAAAATTAGCAAAAGTGATGTGAGGAGATATGACTCTGGGAAGACTGCCTGGAGCACACTTAAATGTCTATAAACTGGCTTATATCCTCTTAATGTGCAGAGTGGTCAGAACCCAAGAACTTGAAACTCACACTACCTGAAAGGCTTGCAAGACTAATGTGGCCACCAGTCTGTCAAATTGTTCCTTGCATTGAGAATTGTGACTGTCTCATGTCTATAAAACTCACATCAATATGGTCAGACCATTCTCTTGTTTCTGTGGGAATATAGTTCACAAAATCTGAAGATTGCTTTCTGACTACAGAGTCAGAACAAGGAGAGTTAAGTATGTTTCCAAGGTAACATACAAGTTTCATGCCATTAGTCATGGTCTTTCACGACCATTTATTCAACAAATATTTGTTGAGTTCCTGATATGCAGCCAACACTGTTATGAGCCATAGGAATAAAGCAATGAACAAAAAAAGTCCCATGGCACTTACATTATCATGGTATAGGTGGTCTGGCTAACAGGATGAAAAAATATTAGAATCTTTCTCTATCCATACTAAAACAGAAAACCTGTAATACTCCAGCTTCCTTCTTCTTAGACATTGCTTGAAAAAGTACTGACAGCATTTACTCCTGTGACTTTAGATGTGTGAATTCATTCAGGCCTGAATGTCTTCCATTGCTTTGTTTATTTAAATATCTCTGCTCTGATGAGGTGATCTCACCACTTTATTTACAGTCCTTGAGGATCAACTATCTATAACCTCAAGAACTGAAAACATTTGTATGTGATACATATATAAACTAGAGAGAGGCTGGTGTGTAGGAAACAATACCAGCTTTGAAGCTGGCTTTGTTTTGAATTCTTGCTCCATTAATACCCAGTTCCCAGTTCTATGTCCTTTAGCAAGTTAGCAACCCTCCTTTAATAGCTTTTTAAAAAAACAGTACAAGTAATATATGAATAAACTTTCATTGTTAATATTCAAACTTTGTTTTATTATTTTAGTAATTACATTACAGTTGATATTATACATCTTTAATATATCAGAGTGATAACATATTCAATTACCACTCCCTGTCTAGAATAGTTATACTACTTCATGTATAGTATAATGATCTGGCAATAATATACTTACATTCCTCCATTTCTGGACTTTATATTATTGTTGTCATACATTTAACTTATATACGTGTTATAAAGCTCATATTTTGTTGCTATTATTTTTGCTTAAACAGTCAATTCTCTTTTAATGAGATTTAAATACTAAGAAAAATTTTTTTATAATTTATCATAATTACCTGTGTTCTTCCTTTCTTTATGCAGATCCAGATTCCCATCTGGTATCACCTCCTTCTGCATAAAGGATATCCTTTAACATTTCTTGTAGTAAAAACAAATTGATGATGAGTTCCTTCAGATTTCATATCTTAGAAATATAATTTGGCCTTCATTTTTGAGATATATTTTTGTTGGTATACAATTTTCTAACCCGATTTTTTTTCCTTTCAGTCATTTAAAGATGTTGATTTAACACCTTCTTGTTTCCATTGTTTCCAACTAGAAGTTTGTTGTCATTTTTATCTTTTCCCTGTGTAGGTAACATGTCTTTATTCTCTGGAGAGTTTCCCTCTTAATCACTGTGATTATGATGGGACTTAGTCTTCTGTCTGGGATGCCTTGAGTTTCTTGGATCTATGAGTTTATCATTTTCCTGAAAGTTGGAAAATTTTTCAATCATTATTTTTTCAAATATTTTTCTGACCCCTACTGCCTACTTTTCAGAACTCCAGTTGCATGTATATTAGGAAGCTTGAAGTTGTCCTACAGCTCATTGATTGTCTATTTCTTAATTTTTAAAATTTCTCTCTGTGTTTCATTTTGGATAGTTCTTTTGTTGCACATTTAAGTTCACAAATCCTTCCTTTTTCAATGCTTAATTTTCCATTAATCCAACTCAGTGTATTTTTCATTTCAGGCATTGTAGTTTTTATCTCTGGAAATTCAGTTTCATTCTTTTTATATTTTTCGTGCCTCTACTTTTTGAATACATAGAATACAGTCATAACAACTGTTTTAGTGTGCTAACTTTAACATCCATGTCAGTACTAGGTGGGTTTCAATTGATTGATTTTTCTTATTATGGATCATATTTCCCTACTCCTTTGCATGCCTGGTAATTGGATGTCAAACACTGTGAATTTTGTCTTGTTGTGTGCGGGATATTTTTGTATTCCTATAAATATTTGGAGGATATTTATATATCCCTTGTGGTGGGGGGAGGGGTGGGCAGTGGAGATACAATTACATTTACCTGGAAACAGTTTTATCCTTTCACATCTTATATTTAAGATTTGGTAGGCAGTACCAGAGCGGTGCTTTACCTAGAGTGAATTATTCTCAACTGCTTTCACAATACTCGTCTGAGTTATTTATCAAATGCCCCATGAATCATGAGTTTATTCCAATCCGGCCAGTTTATTCCAATCCTGGCTCTGCGTGAGTATTAGGCACTGCACTATTCCTTCCAATGTTTTTCCATTGGTTGTTCCTTTCATTTAGGGAAGAGGGTCTTCTATTTTGTATTCCCCAGAGTCTAGAGCATTGCTCTCAAATTTTGACTGATCAATATCATCCTCAAAAATGTGGTGCAGGAGAAGGTTCATTCTGGGATGAGTGCCCCTCTTTGTGGTCCCACAAGAGCCTGTAACTGCTCTATAGCAGAAATTATAGTATCATCTTGAAATTGCATGTTTGATAGACTTCATGAGGGCAGAGACTGAGTTTGTCTTGTTCAGTGCCATTTCTCCAGTTCTGAGCAGTAGGAGTGCAACAAGTGATTGTGAAACATAAATTCTGAATTCTTCATTCTGTTTCCAAACTGCTTGGTGAGAAAATTGGTCTTTAAACAAGTCACAGAGTGCAGACCTCTAGAATAGGAAATTTTAAATAGACCAGGTCTGACTTTGAGGCTTTAATCCTAACCTGGCAGGTCTAGGATAGGATTATAAACCTAGACCCTTATAAGCTTGTTTCACAAAGAGCCAACTAACAAGGAGCATATAGGAGGAGACTTCAGACTAGTCTAAAGGTCTTAGGGGGCATATTTGAATTCCGTGCAGGCCTTTCCTTCCTTACAATTATATTTTAATGCCTGCTGATGCTGACATTGGGCCAGAAAGCCTTCAGTACAGCACTGCGGGAGACACTGTTCACAGGTATTTTGTTTATGATCTAGGAGGCATTTGATACCATGCATATGTAGCCAGTACTACCAAGGTTCCCATCCTGGCCTGCTATGGAAAGATCAATGGAAAGCATCTCTATTCTATATTTTCTTTTGAATATCTGGCCATATACATCTTTCTAACTTTAAACCTTTCTAAGCTGTAAACCAAATTCAACAAACATCTTAGAATTCCTACTCCATGTCAGGCATTCCAGTTACCACTGGAACTGGTCACTGGATAAGCCCTTTAACAACAGAAACAGCACCCCCAAGGTGGCCTAAGGATGGAACAATATTCAGATTCTGAGCACTGGATCTCCCTCTTTACAAATCTTTTTCTCCATCCTTTGCCATCACATTCATAATACAGCTCATCTTATGCCCTGAGCAAAAACAAAAGTGAGATGGAACAGATTGAGAAGTGTAGGGAGTGAATTCATTCCACTGATTCATTCATTCATTCATTCATCAGTTCAATATTTATTGAGCACCTACTATGTGTCAGACTCCAGGCTGAATGTCGGTAGTATAAGGACTAGCAGACATAGCCTTTGTCCTTAAAGAATTCACAGTCCTGTGGTAGAGGAAGACAAGTGAAGAACAGTTACAATAATGTGAGTGAGGGGTGCTAAGGTAGAATACATAAAGCTAATATCTAATTTTTTGAAAGAACATACATTCTTTGAGAGAAATTGTTTATCTTTCACAGTTCCCAACAACATAATTTGTAGAAGGTGAGCACTCCTTAAAGAGCCAAGAACCCTGGATATCCTTTGTCTTTGACTAGCTGTATATCCTTTGACAGTCATTTCAGCTTTCTGAGCCTGTTTCCTATCTATAAAGTGTAACTGATGATACCAGTCCTGCCTACCTCGCCAGGTTATTGTAAAGATCAATGGTCATGGGACTTTTTAATTAATTATAAAGACCTCTAAAAAATAAAATATGCAATCGTAAGTTATATTCTTAAATGTTTTTTGAATTTTAAAATAGAAGTTGTTCAGCACTTCACATAAGTGCTGAATGATCTTGAAAGAAAAAAAGGAAGAAATGAAGAAACAGAAATGAAAGAAAAAACAAATAGGTGAGGGTTCTTCATTGTACTCACTTTCATAGCTCAAAGCAGGTCTGGCTTGACATTTTCCGCATTCCAGATATTTACTAATATTTACTATCATCTCCATTTTACAGATGAGAAAACTGAGGGGCCAAAGAATTTGTCCCAGAGCATAATGTCTTCAAAACTCAAGCCTGGGCCACTTCCCAAGGTCTTTAAACGTCGACAAAAGTCAAAAGGACCAAGCCCCAGAAGACCGTAGGAAACTTTTCTCTGAAAGCTTCGCGTCCCTTGCTTACGGCTGACCGAGGCTTCGACTCCGCCCAGTGACGCATAGGCCCCGCCCCCTGGCTCTCCACCTCTCGCGGGATCTCTCGGGAGGACGGATGGGGTCAGGTCCCATCATGGCGGCTGAAGAGGCAGATGTGGACATCGAAGGGGACGTGGTGGCAGCGGCGGCAGGGTGAGGCGTAGAGACTGGGTCTCGCTGGGATGCGGAGGGGCGCAGATGCGAGGAGAGTACCCCAAAAAGGCCGCGGATCTGTCAAGGGCTAGGGGAGCGTAAGAACATCCGCTGGTTCAGGGTCTTTTGGCGGCCGGGGAGGGGCCGCGCCCATCCCGCCAGTCACCTATATCTGAACCCAGAGGGCGGGTACCTGGGGCTAGTGTTGGACAGCTCTTTCGCCTTTTACCGGGCGGCTCCGACTTCGCCTAGCACATTGCACTCTCTCCAACAATTAAATTCCTTCTTCCATTACCTCCACCCGAGAATCTCTCCAGAATCCGCCCTCTTGCCCCCGCCCGACTATAACTCTAATAAGGGTGGCCTCTGGACGGGACCTGAGTTCAGGCATCCTTGTTTCATTACTTGCAAGCCGTGTGACCTTGGGCGTGTCGTTTCATTTCTGCTGGCCACAGGTTTTCTCTTCCACATAGGGATAGTTGTGAAAAACTTCCTGAGAGGCAGCTTGACTTAAAGGGAAGGGGTAAGGAGTTTTAGAGTTGGACAGCTCTCGGTTTTCCTTCTGCATTGGTTGGCCCTGCTAGTTACTAGCAGTGTGACCTTGGGCCAGACATTTAACTTGTCTCAGCCTCATACAGCTCGTGTAAACTGACGCTCATGATATGTACCTCATACGATTATTGTGAAGTTATTATTGGATGTATTTTAGCATATGGTAGGTGCTCTGAAAATGTTGTTTTTGTTTTTTACCGTTCTGTTACCTTCAGGGATGGTATTGTGAAGACACAGTGAGGGGTCACAATTTATTTAATACCAATTCCTGCATAACAGGCCATTGTGGTTTTAAACAGCAACATCCAGCTTGAGAGATCTAGCCCTTTGGCTCCTTGCTTTCCGAATAAGAAATTGATACATACCATTTTGAAAGTGTGCTTCCAGAATCTCCTTTAGTAATGGAAGAGGCCTGGACTGCTAAGGAATCAAAAGACCTTGGTACTAAACTCACATACATTGCTTGTAATTATGAACAACTTTATTAGGTTAAACCATGTGAAATTGCCAATCTTAGACCATTTTTGACCTATATAAAGGCAATTTCATATAGTCCAACTTCGTTTTAGGGCCTCTGTAATTGCAGAGAAGAGTACGAACCCTGGACTAAGATAGGGGGTTTAAAATTCTTTTGAACTACAAAGTACTGTCAAAATGTGAGAAATGATTAAATTCATATATAGTTATTCTCCCCCAAATCTTTAGCATACCAGTCCAAGCTATACAGATGACTAGGGAGCCTTTAATGACAATCACTGTTTACATTTATGTAGATGAAGTTAATCTTGACCCAGTGCTTTTGCACGCATAATTTACTGCTCACAAGAGTGTGTAAGATAAGTGGACAGGGATACTTATCTGCAGTCTAGAGAGAAATGAGTTGGCCTTGGAAACACTAAAGATTATCTGAGAGTATTGGCTTTCCCCCATTTCTATAGGTTCTTTATTTTTCTGATTGTACTTGGTTTTTCTCTTTTCTCTTTCTTCCTATTCTGTTTGAGCCTTATGTCTAATGGTGGCACGGATGATCATCTTACTCTTATGCAAGGAGGATTTCAAAGGTTATTGGTTCCTGATGCTCAGAGCCATTACCTTACACAACTCCAGGGAACGTCAGTGACATATTCTGGTGTAGGGTGACCCTTGAAATGTGTAGTTATAGCTCTAGATAACATCCATGGAACCCTTGAGGGTTAATTTAAACACACTTTTAATTACAGATGGTCCCTGATTTACAATGGTTCAACTTAAGATTTTTCAACTTCACAGTGGTGCAAAAACAGTATGCATTCAGTAGAAATCATACTTCAAAATTTGAATTTTGACCTTTTCTTGGCCTAGTGATATGAGTGTATGATACTCTCTTATGATGCTGGGCATTGGCAGCAAGCCACAACTCCCAGTCAGACTCTCAAATCACAAAAGTAAACTACTGATACTTTACAGTGAACTGTGTTGCCAATGTTTTTTGGGTATTGTGTTTTGAGCACGTTTAAGATAGGCTAGGCTAAGCAATGATGTTTGTTAGGTGTATTATATACATTTTTGACTTAGGAGTTAAGGAATATTTGTGCTTGCTAAGTGCTACGTACTAAAGTTAGAAGATGGCATTGAAACTTTTTCGTTTCCTTTCTATTTCTTCTACCATTCCCTCTCTTTTTTTTCTTCGGCTGCTCTTTTAAATCAGTGTTCCAAGGGGTTTTGTCCATAAGACTTCTACTTAGTAACTCCACAGTCCCTGGTGATACCACTTCTCAAGAATGAAATTTCTGTCTGTTGGGTGGGACCACATGAAATTTTGCCAATGTTTGGCCATTTTTGACCTACAAAAATTGTAGTTTCATAAGTTCATCTAATAAACATCTAATGCTGATGTTTCCCAAATCTGTTGCCAACCCAAATCTATCTCCTAAGCTTCAGATTGTTTATCCAACTCTGAATCTATATGCACTTGGATATTCAACAAGCACCTCAATCTCAGCTCAGTCTCAGCTTTCCCAACCAAACCTGCCTCTCTTAGGTTCCTAGTTCAATAAATGGCACCGTCCACACAGTCACCCAAAGCATAGACCTACATATACCCTTTTCTAACCTCTTTCCTGCCACTCTTTCTGTTCTATTATTAAGGGTCTGTTGATTCTAAGTATCCTCTCAAATCTATTTCCTTCTTCCTATTCACACTGCTAAATTACTGTTACCTTTTTCTAGTATTTGTATTATCACTCTCTCTTAACTGCTTTTTGTCTTTTTGGCCCCTTCTGTTTTTGTTGTTGTTGTTTGTTTGTTTTTTGAAGTAAGAGTAATTATCTTTTTTATATGCAGTCCATGTTATCCCTTTCAATTTTCAATTGGCTTTATGATAAAATATTCATTCCTTAACTCCTAGAGACCTGTGTGATCCATGCCTCACCTACTTTAATCATTCAATCATTCAACAAATATTGGTTGAGCACCTTTTGTATACCAAGCCCTGGGTATATAGCAGATACCAAAACTTAAGTCCTTCCTCTCATAGAACTAACATTCCTATTAGATAAGACAGACAGTAAACCTTATATTTTTGTCAGATAGAGATAAGTGGAAAAAGATAAAGGTGAGAAGGTGGATGTCTTGTCAGCTTTATCCCTTGTACTTACCCAGGGAAAATTACAAGGTCTGAAACTACAATATCTCAGGTCAGTGTGGATATTGTGTAAGAACTAAATTTGAAAAAGGGAGAAGCAACAGAATTAGCAATAAATTGAATGTGCATTGTGAGGAAATAAGAGCAGGCTCAGATTTCTACCTTGGGCCTCTAAGGTGGTGGAGATGCCATAGACTGAGATAAGGAACAATGGAAGAGTAGCATATTTGAGAGGAAAGGTGAGCTCAGGTTTAAACATGGTAATTTGTTGTACCTATGGAGATTCAGCTGGATGTCCAGATGCATACACCAGAGGTGTGGGTGTGGCTAATCCTTATTAAAGAACACAATGTAAAAATATTTCTGAAGTAGACTTAGAGTGATACCAGTCCCACCACTTGCACCCATGGTAGACCTAGTTAGTTAAGCAAAGGTTTCTTTCTATGAGAAAGAAACAAGTCTCAAAATCCTTTATATCATTTTCTTGGTAGCCTCTACCAAATCAGAGTTGACACATGAGTTAAAATCTTTTTGCCATCAGCAGTTGCTTTTAAGTTATTGTAGATAATCTGTTAACTCCACTGTAGGACTAATTGAAGATTCAAAAATATAAACCCATGTATAGGTTTTTGTAGGCTAAGAAGTACAAAATTCTTACCATTAGAATAGGTCTGAGAAAAGTTAATAACTTAACTAGGAAACTTTATAACTTTAGGACATATAAAAGTAAATATTAAATTTAATTATATCATAGATTTGGCCTCCCAAACCTTAACTATTTAACTATTCAGCCTTTTTGCATATGAGATGAATAGTATGACTTTAGAGAGTTCTAATTACTTCAGTGAAAGGAGTGAATTAACAAAGTTTAATCCCTCATGGACATAGAAAAGACCTCAAGTTAATTTTTTAAATTATATGAGTTATTAGAACGACATCACACTTTCTTAACTCTTCACTGTACTTCCCTTCTTTGAGTATTATATTTTGGTTCTTCCACTATTCTTGGTTTTGTTTTTGTCATTTTGAGAGTGGTGCTACTTATTGTGGGTTTTATGCTTAGATATAGCTAAAAAAATTAATTATGAAGTTGAATTCCAATATTTATATATGGGTACTCCTCAAAAGAAACATGAAGTGTTGGTTCATGGCCACAGAACATGTGTGGCTGCTACTTTGGTGTATTTTTTTGCCTCGTGAAGTTGTTTATTCTTGGGAAACAAAAGAGGTAAACAGACTTGATGTTTAGCAGTTTAAGTAGGGTGGCTTAAAACCACTATATATATCATAAGCTAAAGAGATAGAGTAGGCACTTCTGTAATGCTAAATCTGTTAAGAGGAGAAGGGAACTAAATATTTGCTTAACGTTTCAACCTGCCAGTCACTGTGCGGTGTAAATTATGTCCATTAACTGGTATAATATTACTTTATTATGTATTTCTTAATTATTACAGAAGTGATGAAAATACAGCATCTGTTTTACAAGATCACTATCTTGATTCATCATGGAGAACTGAGAATGGCCTTATTGTAAGTATTTAATGAATCTATATGGTACATTAACCTATTACTCATTACTCAGAGTACCTCCTTTTTTTTACTTGGTGCTAGTACTCAGCAATCACAGAGGTAATATATTGAATGCTTTTCTTAATTTAAAAATAGGAAAAAATTATTACTTTTGACTTTGAAAAATGGCCTGGATTTGGGTACAAGTCATTGCCCTACCACTTATCAAATTTGTGAAGCTGAGTTTCATCATCTAAATAATGGGGATCATTGCAGGGTTCATTTCCTCATTTAACATTTATTGAGTACTTACTATGTGCTAGATTTGAGGGATACAACTATGATCAAGAGAGAGGAGCTTATATTCTAAAGGAGAGTCAGATGATAAACAAGTAGACAAACTAATTATAAATTCTGAAGGACGTAAGCAAGATGCCCACTAAGAGTGACAGGGCGGGGAACCTACTTTAGAGAAAGTTGTCAGTGAGAGAAACCGAGAAAACAACATTTAAGTTGAAATGTAATAGAAAGAGAGGAGTAGATATGTGAAGAGTTGAGGGAAAACACTGTAGGCAGAAAAGATAGCATGAAGGCTCTGGTTGGAAGCAAGTGTCTAGAATATAGTGGGTAAGGGGGAGAGTGACAGCTGTGACATGTGAGAAAGGCAAACGAGAGCTCTATCATATTTATAGGAAGGAAGACTAGAATCAAAGAAACCAGTTAGGAAATATTTGCAGTAATCTAAGCAAGATTTGGTGATGGTGTGCCCTGAGATTGTGGCAGAAATAGAAATGTACAGATTTGAATTATATTTTGGAGGTAGAACTGCTTGGTAGATTGGATATGGGATTGAAAGAAAAGGGAAGAATCCAGGATGATTCTTGGGTTTCTAGCTGGAATAACTTGATGGCTATTTACAAGTTAGAAAGTCAGGGAAGAAGCTGGTGAAGGAAGGTATGTAATGGTATGTTATGTTTTAAATATGTTAAGTGTGAGAAGCCTGCTAGATATCCGAGTGGAAATTTTGAGTGGGCCATTGGAAATAACAGTTTGGACAGAACTTGGAAAAGAGACCTGAGGTGAAAATTTTTGTTTTGAGAGTTGTAAATGATTGTGATCATCAAGGGGAGATTGTGGCTTGAAGGAAAAAAGAATTGTGAATTTTGGAAACAAGCAAAGTATCTAGCAAAATGCTTATACCTAATAGTTCTTCATACATCATAGCCATTATGACTTTATTATGGATAGGAACTTAAGCCTTGGAATCCAGCAGACTTGTGTGCAAAGTCTCTGCTCTTCTACTTGAAATGTTAGCAGTGCTATGGATGCATCCGTGAAGTAATAATGCCCATCCGATAGCATTATCATGGGAATCAAAGACATCTTGTGTGCTTAGTAAATGGTATTATTTGTTATTATTTGTAATCATATAATGTATTTTCATTTACAAAATATAAAAGATAATTTCAAAAAGTAGTAAATAAGAAGAAAAATATATTCTCTTAATAGCCTTGGACTCTGGATAACACCATCAGTGAAGAGAACAGAGCTGTCATTGAGAAAATGTTGTTGGAAGAAGAGTATCCTTTAATGATTATGAGGAAAGAAAAGATTTAAGGGTTAAAAATCTCTAACTGCAAACTTACAAAAGAGACCACTGTTAATTACTAGATGGCATATATTTAGCCCCAGATGACTACTATATAATGTTACCTACCTAGGCAAAACTGCTTTTTATTCCTCTGCTTCTGTTTTACTGCTAAGTCTGAGATATAACTCAGTATTTTTGAGTTTCTGTTGTTAGCCAATTCTTTATACTGTCTGAATATTGAGTTGAAATTATAGAATGTTTTAAGTTAGCCAGACCCTTTAGTCCAAGTACAAGTTCATTTAGTTCAATCCTGCATTTTCAATTGTATAAGCTGAAATCCCAAAATGTTGATTTGTCCAAGGACACAGAACTAGAATACGCAAAGGTTCTTCTCACTTCCTATGCTGCCAGTTTACAGGTGTTACACGGGAGGAATCTAAGTAAAAACCACAAATACAATAGGATGAAGATTTTTCCCCCCAGAAATTGTGAATTCTTATCCCATGGTCCAGCCACTGGCTTCTTGTCCTCATTTCTTTCATCTATATGTGATGTTGGCAGCTTAACTTCTTTGAAACTCAATTTTCTTATATGTAAAATGAGAGGACCAAACAAAATGATTTCTGTTTTTTATGATTTATAAAGACTATCAATACTAGTCTATTAAGTAGTGGTTTGTTTTTAACTCTTTCATCTATATTTCATGGATTTCTACCTCCTTTTTAAGCCAGAACTTTTCTATTCCCCTTATTTCCGATTATCGCTATGTTGATGTCAGAGTGTCTGTATACATTTAATTATTATAGCTTAACCTCTTTTAGGCTTTCTTATTCTCTAATTCTCCCCAAACATGACAGTTATAGCCTATATCAATGCTTTTCAATAGAAAAATAGAGTCAACATATAACATTTAAAATTTTTAGTAGCCTCATTTAAAACTGGTGAAATTAATTTTAATACTATACTTTAAGCCAGTATATTTAAAATGTTATTTCAGCATTTAGTTAATATAAAAACATTATTGAGATCTTTTACATTCTTATTTGATACTCTTTGAAATTCTGTGTATATTTTATACTTAGAGTACATGTCAGTCAGTTCATGCTAGCCACATTTCAAATATTCAGTGTTTACACAATAGGGCTATTGGCTAATGTATTGAACAGTGCAGTTCTAGGTTAATGAATATGTAAGTAGTCACTGGTTCATTTCCAAATTTGGAAACAAAGAGTAAAAGCTATGTGAGAACTTGGAGGACAAGGATAATGTTTCCTTGTTTCTTTGTCTTTGTACCTGGTACTTAGTAAAGTGCCTGACATCCACGATATATAGTTAATATTTGTTGAGTGAGGGCTATCTCAGATTAATCTAAGAGTAGTACAGTAGGCCAATTTTAAGAAGTTTGAGAGGAAGGCTTTCTGGTAGATTTGACTTAAGAGTTTGTTATTTTTATTAGGATAGAGAATAACCCTGAACTCTTCTCTGTTACTTTGAGAAATATGAAAACAAATACTCCTAAATTATCCTCGACAATCAATCAAATTTATCTATTACATTCTCCGTATGTTTTAGGAAAAAAGAATTAAATAAAATATTGAAGATGTTTCGTAGCCACTTTTAAAAAGAAAGAGAAACTAACATGTAGCACACATTTTTTTGCAGATACTGTGTTGTGTGATTTCACATTTAATATTTTAATCCATATAACAACACTGTGAGGTGTAAATAATTTTATCGTTTTTGCAGACCTGAAAAGGGCTTTGAGAGAAATTCATTTAGCTGGGATTCAGATGGCTTTCATGCATATATGAGTGCCTACTTTATGTAAGTTACATAAAAACTTTATTATTATTTTTCAAGTTTCCTTAATAATTACACAGGTATTATTTATCTAAAAAATCACTTCCGGAAAAATACTGGCTTGATCAAAAGGAAGATGATAAAAAATACATGAAGAGGTAAAATCAATTTATAATACTTTTAAAAGTCTGAATTGTATTTTTAAAAACTTTTTCACATACTTCTTTATTTTCTTTTTTTCATGTATTGCAGTCTGCAGAAAACAGCAAAAATCATGTATGTACTTATGTTTTATATTTTAAAACCTTTTTTATTAGTTAAAACATGGGAAAATTGAACAAAAATTATAATTGTCCTGTGGAAAAGCCCTCTTGATTTTGGGTTATTAAAAAATACAAAATCAAAATTTCTTGTACAGGTATTGAAATATGCCCCAAGGTAATTTTATGATGTCATTTATTTGCCAGAATTTCTCTTTTGGTTGGTTCCATCACATTATGGGAAAGATGATTTCCTAGGAATTTGTGGGAGTTTTTTAAAATCTGCTACTTAATATATTAGGAATTGGCTTAATTTCTATTGCCCTATCAGTTAATTTTCAATCATTTCAAACAAAAATTTAATTTGAATTTGTAGCTTTCAAAAAATTAGAGAAACTTAACTATTTTATTTAATGTTTATGAACTTGTAGGTTTATGATCCCTTAAAGGGTAAGGCTTACAAATTTGTATTGGCCAGAAGTTTGAGTACTGAACAGACTTTGGCTTTTGCATTTTGCTAAATTAACAACAACAAAAAATAAAATTAATGAAAAGATTAATAGTTTGTTTGAATTAAGTTAGTGAGCCTCATCACTACTTTAATTTCTTAAGATACTGCAATTTCAAAATCAATAAATATAATGCCATAGTTTTTTGACTTTTCTGGCTCAATATTTATATGGAAGAATCAAAAAGAATATTTCTGGAGCCATTTAAAAATCTTACATGCCTTTCAGGATTTAGAAATGTATTAACATCTGCTACTTCGTGTTCCAGTCTAAGGAAGCCTATTTGCTTGTTACACATTGACTTCCTTTGATGTCTTTTAGTGTTATCTTCACTTAGACCCAGGATTATGTCTTTTGGGGCTCCTATCATCCTAAACTAGAGAAGTATATAAAACAGGGTAAATCTGTCCCTCCAGGTAGAGGCTGCAGCTTTCTTCTTCTTCTTCTCCCTTTTTTCTTTTTTTTAATTCTTAAGACTCAACATATTGAATTTAGCCCATGGCTATCTATAACCTTAGCTGCATAAATATAGAATGTTCCATTTCAGAAATTTTTTTGCAATTCCTTTTTTTCCCTCAGGGTACAATCTCCTACAAAACCAGCCAGTTTCTCAGTAAAGTGGACGATAGAAGAAAAAGAGCTGTTTGAACAAGGGCTGGTAAATAGAGCAATTTTTGATTTATAGTAAAATAATTTTAGAAGCAAATATTGGTAGAATTAAAAGGTTAAATTAATTTGTAGAGTCCAGGAATTTCTTTTTAAGTACAGTGATCACATCTATAGTTTTTCTGTAATTAGACCAATGACGTTGATAGTGTAGGACAAAAGACTTCAACTCATATTTAAGTTACAAAAATGTTAAAATAGACTTGGATTAATATTTTGGATCGTTTTCACCCTTTTTTTATTTTAATAAAACCCAAGAAATTGAGGTATCTCTCTATACATGACACCAACTTCCTGGATTAAAAGGCAAAATTATTTAGTCATCTGATGTTTTCTCTTGGAAAAAAAACTTGTATAATTGGAACTGTCTGGATGATCAGCTGAGTTCTTTTTTATTCAGATATTTGGCATTGTGCATACAGTCTAAATATTTTAGTGGATATAATTGAAGACTAAAAACATTTCTTTTGCATGAATTTTTCACTGAGATTTGTATAAATTTCTACAAGTTACATAATGGAAAAATATGCACACGAATTTCTAATTCTGAAAATACTCCCTAATATGAAGAAACTTTTAATAATATATTCAGAATTTTTTTTTAACTATTAAGAATAGGTTATATCTTTTCCTTTAAGGTACACACTACCTAGTATTATACTAACTAATTTTGAAATTATATGTATTTATATATTACATATATAGAATATTTAATATTTATGTAGGAGTCATAAATGCTAATTGAAATATTATTAATAATGTTTCTGCAGATAATGGGAAATAAAATGTTTGTATTTTTATATTTAGTCATCACCACGATATATATTCTGTGATGTTTTTATATAAATACCTAAACTATCTTGAAGGTTTTATCTCTTCCCAAGGTTTTTCTCCTGTGCTGTTGATGTTTTTTATATTGGTCTTTCAGTCTGTTGTATAATTATCATTTACATTATCTAACTGTAACCATTAATTTAAGATTGCTGACAACTTTGGTATTTTGCCCCTTACTAGAGACCATATACACACATACAAGTGGGTTGTGAATTTTTAGGTTATTACTATTGATATTGATAGTAGTTATGGGGGCTACATCTGTATGGTTGAAAATTTAAAAGGTACCTAAAGTTATAAGGTAGTAAGTCTAACACCTGTCTCAACCTTCAGTTCTCTATGTGTGAGGTAACCATGTTCATCTGTTCTTTGTGTATCCTTCCAGATATATTTGTTCCTAAATAAGCAAAAGTGTATTTATGTATATACATATGTAGATAATCTATCTATATACATTGACAGATGTTTTAAACTTAGAATGTTTTCCTATAAAAATACATGAAGTTATTAGTTGTATTTCAGCCTTTTTAATCTTTTCACATAGTTTGTTTGTAGACTGAATGCTCTCAGGTTTGAGAGAAAAGAATTGTGTGGTGAAGATTTTTCCTTCCTTTCCTTAGGCATAGGGTTCTCCCTTTGCTCTATTTTGAAATTGGTGAATATTTTCTTTGCTCCTCTTGTTAGTGTCCTCTCCTTAATTTTCATAGTGCCCAAGCCTCTACAGTCATACTTTATCAGGATCTTTCCTGTCTCCTAAAGTGCACCATGCTACCAAGTCACCTATTTGACTTTATCCCACAATAAAGATAACTAATTTTTCAGTAAGGTGTTAGTTAACAGCAATATAAATAATTAATTTATACCTACTAGTAATTTTCCCAGAAGAACTTTTCAGTTTTAAGAAAATATACATATATCGTATTTTCTAATGAATACCAGAAATAGTGTATAAATTAAGATTTATTAATTGGGGCAGATATTTGAAGATGACTTGCTACCAAAAGTCAGGACTGCTTGGCCAGTAAATCTGCCCTGGGATCAACTTCCCTGAGTTGTGGCTGTTTTTTTGTTTGTTTTTCATAGCTACTTGGGGAAGTAGAGAGAGAGTATATTTTGTTAGAGATATTACAAAGGAGATTTATGTATGTAGCAAATGATAGACTTGATACCTAAAAATCCCTTTTAGATTAAAATTATATGCATGCCTTTCTTCAGAACACACCAGAGCTCCCTTGGATTCTCAGTTTTTTCTCACCACAGCTTCAATGTTAGCAGATGGACAGCCTTTAGCAATAGAGTTGTGTAG